TGAAGGCATATTTGGAAATGGCTAAATAGTAGAAATAAATACATTTTTCTACATATGCATTTTGAAAAATTATTGAAATTCTTAATCTGTAGATGTCATATAGTAAGGAAATATGTGAGTGATCTTCTTTAAACTTTATGCCTAATTAAATGCTTTGATCATAATAATAGTGTCTAGAATGATGAGTAAGGGGAGCTAAATTACAAAAATGAAAATTAAGAACTGTAGTTCCTCATCTCTTGATATAACTTCACTTTTCCATTAATAGGTAAGTAGGCAGAGTAATATTTAAAAGATACCCCCTCATTGTGGGTCATATCATGTCCAAATTGAGGAGGTTTTAAAAATTATTTTTATTTATAAATTGCTTCATGAGTTGTCAAAACTCAGGCTTCCGCAAAACATTTCCCAGAAACCAAGGTCTTAGCTCAGCGACCATAAGAAAATACTATTGACTGAAAATACTTTCACTGATGGAAGAATTTTATATTAGTATTAACTTGAATCCATAAGAAAAGAAAATTTACATAAGTTTCTGAACCCAAATGGCATACTAAAAAAGCACCAACCACTAAATTATGTCATGTAACATTTTCAGTATTAATTTAATAGGTTTAACATGCAAATTTACTTGAATCTAACTAGTAAAACTATACTATAACCAGGATATAGCATTGACTGACATTTTAAAAGCTATTCAAATAAGATTTTAAAGGCACATTCTAATATTGTTACATCCTGCATTCGGTACTATGGATGCCTGTTTGCATCCTTTGAAAATTTGTATGTTGAAGCTCTAACTCCCAAGTGATAGGATGTAGAGATGAGGTCTTAGGCCCGTGATTAGGTTTAGATGAGATCACAAGCATAGAACATGTGCCCCCTACAGAGAGGGGGGTGGGGACCGAGGGCTTTCTGCTCAAGTGGTTGCACGTGAAGACAGAAAACCACGTGAACCAGCAGCATCCTCTGTGACTTCAGCCTCTAGAGCCTGGAGGCCCAGCTAACACTCAAGGCACAGAAGCGACAGTATCTTCTCATGGGAGCCGAGCAAGAATCCTTGGTTTCTAAAAGATGTTTTTATTAAAACCTGGACTTGGACAATTCATGAAGCAATTCATGAATAAAGGTAAGAAACCAATTGCTCAATCTGGACTTTTTCCAGTGTTCTGGGTTGTTTAATTAGGATATGAGCCTAGAGAAATGATTACTACTTTGGTGTTGTTTTTTCCAACAAATGCGGTAAAGCTTGTTGAGAATTGTCACTCAGCCAGAGAGCAAGAAGAAAGTTGTGCATTCACAGGGCCAGGCTGTGTCTCTCTTTAATGAGTCCTGTGTGTCCCCTGCAGTCACAGATGATAGGCAAATAGTTTTGATTAATGACAAAGATTTTGCTACATTTAAAATCAACTTCAATGAAGACCGCTTACAATGTGAAAAAGGTGACACTAATATGCCCTATCATATAAAGTTACATATACATATTTAAATATTGATAAGTTTATATAAAAAGGAAAACATAAATATCTTAATATCAAATTTATTGAGATATCATGACATTAATACAATTTACTTTTAGCTTCTGCAATTATAAGAGGTGCTCAAAGTGGTGGCCTTTGATTTCCAGACATTTATTAGTACAGCAAACTGTAGACATTTTTTGTCTCTCTCTCTCTCTCTCTCTACATATATATATATATATATATATATATATATATATATATGTGCATGTATAATTTAAATGAATATTTGTATAGGTAAATTGTATCTAAATCTAAACCAATGTCTTTATAGTTATATATAAATTATATAACATGTAAATATACTATGCTCATATGCTGCATAAAATTGTACTTTATATAATGTATAAAATATAAATGTTTATATAGAATTTAATTAAATATTATTTGTAAATTAGTCATTTGAGTTAATAAAATTATATTTTGAAACAAACTGCCTATAAAATCTTTTAGAGAACTAAGTAGGCAAGTCAACAAAAAAAATGGCTTATTTGAATCATTTCTTAAAGCTTAAATATTAGCTTATTATTACAAAATGAGAGTTTTAATGAAATCCCAATAAGTTAATATTAATAGTGAAATAAGATAAGAAAGAACAGATTTAGGTTTAACTGGCTTTGAATATGGATGAAGTCTTAATTCTGGATGGATTCAAAAGAGGGTGAAAATCTTGTCAAAGATACAGAAAAATGTGGGGAATGGCTATGAAGGATAAATTTTCCATTCTTTTAGAACTTCGTTTGATATTAATGGCAGTAAATACCATCATGCCTCTAGAAAGTATATTTCAATTTCAACATTTATTTGTACTGATTTACTGGATACCTGTTTTTATATTATATGTTTTCTATGATGTATCATGCTTATCACTTAGTTGGCATTTATTAGTAATTGATGAATGAATGACTCTGATTGTCAGAAGTGTTGAGGATGTGAACATACTTTGGTACTTGCTGGGTAGGAAGGTAAGTGAGAAAGAAAAGCACTGAAGTTGAGTCTGCAAAGTACTGTAACAGCCAAGATATTTGGCTGTCACTGCAGAAAAAAATCAAGAAAAGTCCCAATTTGTATTTTTTATACATGAACCATTAAGTGTGAGTGACAAATAGAAGAACATCACTAAACTGTATTTCATACATTATATTGGATAACTTTTAAAAATATATTGGACAGCTTTTTAAAATGCATTATATTGGGTAGCTTTTTAAAATAGCAACTTCACAGTTGCTATTATGCATGTTGGTTGCTCTGGGAAATTGGTTATTTAATTGTATATTCTACATGTACATAGAGAAATAATATTAATAGTGAAATCCCAAATATCAAATAATTATTTAATGTTAAATGTAAATTACCTAATTATAAAATCAATAAATCTCATATGGCCTATTATGGCTAAGCCATTCAGCAGGGAGTCAGGGTTCTTTGTGGGCATCTTCATCATGTGCAAGAGAAGGGCAAGATTTTGTGACTGCTACACTCACCCTGGAGGTGGCCCAGGGGCATAGGGAGGGCAGTGAGTGGTGGCAGTGGCCTGTGTACAATACACAGGAGGAAAAGACGTTTGCTTTTCTCCCATTTTGCTCTTGCTGCTTTGCTGTCTTCTGTGGTCTGAAAGTGTTGCCCCTTTGCATGCTGCCCTGCCTTGGACTGAAACCTCCACAAACTGTGAGCTAAATAAACTTCTCCTTCTTACATTTCAGGTTTTGGGTATTTTGTCTCAGCAATGAGAGAAAAGTAAACAAGACATGGTCCTTATGACCCCTGGCAAAACATTTCTTTCTGATCTGATACTATTAAAGACAAGTAGTACATTGAAAGCTCTGAAATATATATTGAAAAGTAAAAAGCCTGTTTAATTCCCAAGTACCTGGAGAAATAAAATTTTAGATCACAATACATTTTTAGGCAAAGAATGAATAAAATATTGAAACTTTTAAAATTTTTTTGGAAAATAACACATTTACACCTAATAGGACAGAAGGTGACTCACCCAACTTCCAGTTTTAGCTCTGAGGTCACACTGTTCCCTAGAAGACTGATGCTTCTATCCCTAGATGTGAGTGGGGTAGGAAAGCCTCGCTATTTTATCTTCACTATGGAGTGCCTTCATAGAAGGGTTCACTTGCAGCCTTGGTCAAGGGTTTGTGAGCTGAAGATTGACTTCTTCTTGTGCATTCTATTATGAGATTCATGAGGGGCATGGTTGTGTTCATTCCTATAATTTGGTGGCATTCTATTAAATGGATATACGAAAATTTGCTTACCCACTTGTCTGATAATTGGACATCCAGGCAATTCAGTTTGGGGCTATTGTGAGCATTCATGTGTAAGTCTTTAAAAATATACTTTCAAGGTTTAGAACTTTTCAAATTCCTACTACATGGAGATGATTACAAGTTCTAGTTTAGTCTTAGTAACTTCATGAGATAATGTTTCCAAAAAAACATTGGAAATATTTCAAAATGTGAATTCTCATGAGTAAGTGTGGCACATAAAGAATAAGTTTTTACATATTGATGGAACTACAGTTTGGTAGAATAATTCTTAACGACCATGTAATAGTACTTACAAAAAGAATAAGCATTTATTCTTTGTTTAGAAATTCTTCTTCATTTGCAGTACTGGAGAAACTAGTTAGCTTCTTATTCCTTGTTTATTTCTTATCAACAGAAAAAAGCTAATAATATATAATATGTCAAAACATAATTCATAGGATTGATTTGCTATACCAAAATTTTTTTCATTATTATTTTTACTATAATTATGAGATTTTTATTTTATGAGAATTTTATTCTCCAGAAATGCTTTCTCCAGAAATGAAAAGAATGTACAACATTTTAAAGATGTATACTGTATCATCAAAATAAATAATTGGAGACAAGTAAATGCTCATTGATAGGAGTTTACGGACTAAATTTTTGTCCATCTTTCAGAAGAAACATAAAGAAGCCTGGACAAGCTGTTTGGAGACATGGCCTGATTTCAAATGCTGCCTCTGTTCTTATGAGCTGGGGGCCTTGTCCATTTCTTAACCTCTCTGTGTCTTGCTTTCCAACTGTAAAAATAATGATAATGCCCATGTGACACGAGTTATTGTGAGGAATTGATAAGCCATTACCTGTAAATTGTATAGAAGAAAAGCAGGACATAGTGAGTTTCTCCTAGTTTGTAGTATCCAGCAGATAGTTACTCGCCTTTTATAAGAACAGGGAAAGTCTGCATGTAGTGGCATTCAAGGATATTTACTATACAATGAAAATGATCTTATATTTTTCTTCCTGTAGATATAGTGGAGTTAAGCTATACATGATCTACTTACAAATTAGATGTAAGTTTTCAAAAATGCACCAATTTATTTTCTAATTACAGGAAGAGAACAATAGCTAAGAATATTTCACATTTCTAACTCATTGTTTTTAATTTTTACTACAAATGAAAATTTTAATATATGCAATAAACAGACTCAATAGCATAAAATAGTTTTAAAAAGCATTTAATGGTCTTTGAGTAGTTTGAGTTTATTAATCTAGTTGTTTATTAACCTATTATTGAAATCATTATTTTGTATTTATATACGTGTGATACAAAAAATATTGAGTGCTTTCCTGGAAATACCACAATGACTAACAATATTGTGTGACCGACATTTTATAATATTACTTTATATTGAAATAACTAAAAATAAAGGAACAAAAATAAAAACACTTAACCTAATCAAAGCACTTTGTTTCCTGCGCATCTAAATTTGTGTAGGAGCAAGAACTCCTTCATATACAGATTTTTTAAAAGATATGCAAACGATTTCATGAAATTAACATACATAGAGCTTTACTTAAATTAGAAAAAATGTTGGTTTTTCATTTAGCAGCTGTATATGCAAAGACAGATAAAACACTAGTTATTTTCGGTAGAGGTGGTAAGTCTGTCTTTCATTCTAACTTATGTACGATATAACAAATAACCACTGAATGTAGTAACAGGGGGAAACTTGGCTGGAATTGTTCCTTTTACCAGTCGCAGCCACACTTCCTGCCCATAATTTAATTCTAATAAGGCATCCCCAGTCAAAACTCTATCACAGTGAACTTCACTGTTAATATTTTCAGACTCAAATGCAAGCTTGTCTATTCTATCCACTACTAAAAATCCAGAGATATGAGCACTAAATGACTCAATCGTGTATTTGAAAACATAGACTCCAAGATAAGGAATTTGAAATTTGCCAGTCCGTGGGTTATATGAAGCTCCATAATTGACCTCCAGATTATTAAAAAGGATAGGGCCAGGTGTAATCATTCCATACGTATGAGATGCAAAAAATGCCACCATTGGTGCATATCTATAAGAGCCTTTGGAAAAATCTGTCAATGAAAAAAAATGTTGAGTTAATTTTCATGATTTTACTTTGCCTTTTTCTTCATATTGCTATCATTTTACCAGAGTTACAAAAATACTTAGTAAAAGTGCAAAGGTCCTCCACTGTATGTAACAACAGTTTATGTGCCTGGCTGCTGTCTTCTTCTCCTTGCTAAATCCTTCTACATCTCAGAGCCTCGGTTTCTCCATTTAGATCAGGATAGAATAAAAATGACATTTGATATTTCCCTCATAGAAGTATCACAAAGATTAATTTGAATGTGGCTTTGATATGCCCAAAGACAAAGGATTCCAAAGCACTCTGTGACTGCTATGAAGTTATGTCCACTGTAGTACAGTATACAAAAGCAGTATTTTGTGTAATTGATGCCAAATATACTTAGGCTGAGAATTGAAAATAGATCCAAAACTTACTCATCAGTATGCAGCATATTCAAGTAAAGCCCCATTTGAAATATGCCTTGCAATCACTAAAGATACTATACATTAAATGCTACACATATTTTTGTATAAAAAACAGAGATGTTGTATTAAAATAAAATAAATGCGAAGCAATCAACATTTATGATACTAAATGAACAAAGCGAGTATCTTTGCTTGATATGTTTGATCATGCCCTAGTAATCCTCCAGCAGTCAAAATGGCACTGATAGGTTAATCTCCATGGAAACATGCCACTAAGCACACATTGAGGTTCCATTTAAATGAACATATCTGACATGAATCAGAGGTGTAGTTCTCAAACAGTTGGCTTGAGGAGAAAGTTTATACATATGCATGTGAATTTTCAAATATGCACAAGAAAAAAAAGAGGATGGTAGAGTTTTCAATAAATGGTCTCCAGTGTACTACTATTAAAAATGTCAACAAATACCTGGTATTTCCACTTGTAAATTAGACATATTATTTAACAAGTTTTAGAAGAAAAATAAGTTAATCTTCATGGAGATCTTGTTTAAAATGGCTTAAATAGCAATTCTTAACGTTTTCTAAACATGTTTCTGTATATGACATTGAGCAAATCAAAGAGTAAACTGTTACCTGGAGCCAAAGCAGTTTCCTCCACCAGCTTGACGGTGCAGTTTTTGCCAGAGAAAGGATGCCGGCAGGCACAGGTGAAGCTGGTTCTCCCGTTTATACACGTGCCTCCATTCTGGCACGGGAAGCTGCTGCAGGCTGACTCCTCCTCTGTCACTGAGAAGAAGCATGATAAAAGAGGCAAAGGTGACCTGTTTTTCTGTTTACCTCAAATAATAGGTTAGAGCAGAATAGGTGAAATATGATGATGGGGTCGAAGGCATTGGTTGGCTGTCCGTGTAGCTGTGGGGCTTCATGCAAATGCTTTAGTTCTGATCTCCTTTTCCCCTTTTTTTGAGCTGAGGCTAATCCTGTGATTTATTGCATTTATTCTCACTAAAATGTCAAGATTTTGGTCAATGGTAGAACAGAATATAATTATGTAGACACAGAACCATGTATATTTGGAACTAGTACATGATAAAAGCAGTATTTCAAATCATTGGAAAGGGAAAATGTCATTTCAGTGCATAATGCTAACTGGATATCTATAAAAAATTATCTATGCATACAAAATACATTTAAAAATCCAGGCAATTGCATCACATTTAAATAGTGGGAATAGATTATAGCCTTAAAACTGGAAAACTCATTCAAAGCAAGCAAAAGAAAAAACAGACATGAGTAAAACTTTTTCCATTTTTGATCAACTAAGAACTAAAACTCATTTTCATTGCATTCTGCTAAATCAAGAGCTCAGTGATAAGTAACAAATTAGGAGAAAAATATTTTAACAAACATAATCTTGTAGTTAATATCCATAGCATATGAAGATCCTTGACTAATCCAAATGAGAAAGAACATTATTTCCTAAAAGGAAAACTGAAAGTAAAGAAAAATGGTTCAATGGTACAAGGAAAATCACTGAACAATAAGCAAGGAAACTCACCAGTAATTTTAAAATGTATTCAACTATGTCCCTAAATAAGTAATAGTAAATCTAGTCACAATTAAAATTATTTTTATGTCAGGTACCAACATTTAAAAGGAAAATATTTAGAGAGAATGATGTGAAGAAAGATGTTACTTGATCATATTTGTTAGCACCAAAAAGTGTCATTTACACTGAGCCAGAAATTTGTACTGGCTAAATACATACACACTACACTTGGAGTGCCCAAAAAATTGCTGGTTATATGCTCAAGTACCTAAAGATTATTCTTCAAAAATGTTCTTCATGGAATCATTTGCATTAATTAAAAGTTTAAAGATTCCTAGATGATCAGAAATTATTATATACGAGTTAAAGAAAGAGATAGATCCCCAGCACATTTGTAATGTCACCAGATTACAGTTTACATATTAGATATAGAAAAGAATCATTTATTTATAATGCTTCAAATTATAAATATGGTTATAAGCCTAATAAATAACTGCAAAAGTTGGGAAGATGGAAGCATCTGTAGCCTCCTTGCCAGGAAAACACTATGGCATGACAGTAATCACTATGACCCTATTTTGTGGTAATAATGTATTGAGTTTATAAATCACCTATTTCAGATTATATGGTGGTTGATGATTTTTAAATTTAAGGTGATTTGGTATTTGCTTTTCTTCCTAAAATGAGATCCATAAATATTTTGTATACATTCTGTTTCATATCTGTATAAGGTGTGAAACTCAGGTAAAATATGATCAAACTATGTTGGTATTATTGATTTTTTTTGCAAAAATACATTAATATGTAATTTATGTAACTACAAAATAACATAATGAATTGTATATAATATTCTATAAATTCCTTCATCAAAAAGTATAAAAGTATTACAGATAATAATCTATGCCTTTTGTGTATGAATATATTATATGTAGTATATTTTAATAAATGTTTAAAATTTGCATTCATTTCTTGAACTTCATTTCCTTATCATATGAATAGGTTATCAAACCCTTTCATTTGCTGCTAGCTATCATTCTAGAATGTGGCCCATTATTTGTTAACTCTAAAAACATCCATGATTCACCATTAGGGAGGTTTTCACATTCTCTGAATCTAGCATGGTGACAGAGTCCCAGGAGGGTGCATAGTTAATATGCTTCACTGGTAATGCATCAGTTGTATAGTGGCTTGAAGGAAGCACTGAATCAGTTATGTAACTTCTCTCTGCGATGATTCTACATTTTCCAGATGAGGAAGAGTCACTTCCACCTATAAGCTCAGTTTATCCATAAAACCAGGGATCAAATCTGTTCTAGAGAGAGTTTAAAAAACTGTAGAAATAGCAGATCACTTTGCATTGCTAATGGCCCCTTTCTAAATTCTTCAAGACTGAGGTTTTTGCCTTTATTTAATGTCCAGAATGAGCACTCTTTCTTTTTTCTTTTCTCCTTGTGTCCTATTACCTTCTGGACATTAAATAAAGGTCTTGCTTCAGTCTTGTCCTTTAACATTTCAAAGACTGTTATTTGGCCCTTATTCCACTCTTTTGTAGGGTCATTCATCTGGAAGAGAAGACCACTTGAGCCTAATGAAGGGTTTGAACTGTCTCCTGCTGCCCACACTTCTGAGACAGTGCAGTTTGCCCTCTCAGACATCTTTCATGGTGTGGACTGATCATCTGCCCTGGATACTCATCCATTCGTCTTGCACCTGCATTTGCTGCAAGCTATTACTGTATGCCTTGATCCATCAACTAAAATTATATGTAATTTGTAATACAATCAGTTACAAGTATCTTGTTGTGTATCTTCTGGCTTACATTTTACTGCTTTATTTAAAATACTTAAGAAATGTTTGGTACAATAAAATACTTAAGAAATGGCTCATATTACAGCTTACTAAAGTATTTGTTCTTGAATTAACAACAGTCAAACAATAAAGTATTTTTGACAATTTCTTTCATCCTTTCTGCCTGAGTTAATTACTTTAATTCTCTCATTAATTGCCTGATGCTTTGGATTTGTTATCATATTCTACTGTAATTATTCGTGTGATCTTACTTCCGGTAGGCATGTGAGCCCTTGTGAGGGGCAGGTCAATAATCTTCTACTTCTTAAATTTTGTTTTACTGCTGACTAGCTCAGAACGTGACATATACAAGGGGCTAAAATTTTTAAGGGCAGGAGGAAAAGAGTGATGACAACAGTGGCCTACCACACAGGAAACGAAAGCTAAGCACATGTGCTGTCAGAGGAAGCAAGACATGTGCCAGGCAAATGCAGTTTTCATGTGTGAAGACTGTCGTGGGTGTCATAGTTGAAGCAAAGATTATTTATGTGGTAGACTTTTGCTTGTGTTTACATTGTAGCTCATACATAGGTTTTATTTCTGATACTGTCTTTTAGATTCTGTAAGCAAGTGCACAACTGACATGAAAATGTTGATGTTTATTCTGAATGCACAAAACATATTAAAAAATCAATACTTTATTTCATTGATATTTATGTTCCTGTCAACTACACATTACATAATATAATAAGACTCTCCTGACAAAACAGCAAGAGATATCAAGTATGCCCTACATAGAGGTCAGGAAAGCAAACAATACGTGTTGTCAGTGTAAGTGATACACGTAAATGGAATGTGCTGCCTTCATGTGTGAAGACTGCCTTGCGTGTGATACTTGAAGATTTTTTTTCACAGAGTGGTATTGGTAATTTCATTGTACTTCATATAGGAATTTATTTCTGTCTTTCTTTTTTATACTTTGTATACCAAAAACCAGTTGATATTGAAAATTTTGATGCTTTTATAAACAGTAAGATTAAAATGCAATATTTTATTATGTAATAAAACTCATAAATTAATTCATCAATAGACATATTCTAAAGAATAAACATGGGTTGATCAGACCCATTTGTATAATATTTCATGACAAGAAATGTGTTATGCTCCTTAATGGAAGACTGACTAGTTGACTACATTGACATCCAACTTTATCCCTTAGTATTTCAAAGATCACATTGAGTTTGATGCTGTGACATCACTGGCATACTTTCTTGAAGACAAGATATCATTTCAAGCAAACTTTTTACAACTCTCTTACATCAGTATTAGGGACCTGGCTTAGATTTCTAATCTCCCAAAAGAGTATACAGCAAGGCTTAAAATAAATGTGGTAAGTGGTATGATTTTAGAGCTCCAGAAAGATCAAGACCCTCTGCAGAGTTTGGAGACTCTGGTGGCTAAAATAGGGAATGCCTCTGGGCAGCCTGCATTTACTTTTTTCAAACACAGGAAACTGAACAGATCTTGGGAGTGGCTCAAGAGCTTTGCAAGTAACAAATTACACCAACAAGTATCTTAGGAGAAAATCTCCATGTTGAATTTCACTACAGGGGTGAAATGCCTGCTGCTACAGTTTTTATATAGTTAATTGGAGTTGGAGCCAGGTGTCTTCAGCTGTGATCTTCTATGGCCCCAGGCGTGCAACAGCCCTGCGTGTGTTGTTCAATTTCCAGTTTTAAAGGCTCCCAACACATCAGGTTTCAGTAATATCTTGAACCCTTTCCAGTCCATTTGTTTTTTTGATGGAGATCAGCCCAATTAGCTGAACCATTCTACCAACCCAATGTTCTAATATCTCGCACAAGTAGCGTAACTAATCTTTCAAGATTAACTCTCCTGCTCTGAACATGACTAAAATTTCATTTTTACTTTCTTGGATTATTTCATAAATCTTAATGTGTTCTGGCCTTTGCTTTCTGGATCCTAATATGTGCTCTAGTTGTACTTTTCTCTTAATTCTACATTCAAATCTCATAAACGTTCATGTTAAATTTGAACTGATTGGAGAGCTCCTTACATTTTCAAAGCACTTTGTCATTGCTAGCATTTGTCATTTTCTATTACAATTACTTGCTTAATATATGGGCTCCAGGAGAAGAGAGACTGTTGAATTTACATTCTATCCACTCAACCTTTCTCAGCGCTTTTTCCAAACTTAACATAAATTTCATGAAAAAAAATGAAAGAACAATTGTATTGGCCTCCTATTTTATTCTTACTTTTATTTACTTCACATATAACATGTATAATTTATATAATAATTATATACTGTTAAGTTATATAGTATTTTACTTATATTTCTATGTTTATTGCTTATTTCTATTTTAGTATTCAGTTGCTATTTTTTATTTCTTCTTTTAAAGAATAACATGGCAAAGGGCAGACACCT